GGAGTTTTTCTTGGGGGGGTTTTTTTTCCCCCCCCCCCCCCACACACACACACATACACCTCCTCTATATCCATTTATTACTGCTCTTTCTCTCACAGTTGCACTGAGGTACTAATTAGATCTATAAAATACATTTTTATGATTTGAAAACTGTATGAATGCATTTCTTGAGTTCAAACATCCCATCTTAGGACATCCATCATGACTGTGGTAATTTAATGCCCTTTCACCCTTAATTTCAGATGTATGATGCCAACAAAACTGGGGGTCATTTTCCAGCCAAAATTTATCGGAATGGGATTCCATGGGTACCATTTTTCATATTCTGTCTTCTGAGCTACTGTTACCCTTTTTATTCTTATGTATTTCAGATTCAAAACAGACTTTGATTTGCTAAAAAATTAAAGTTATTATAAAATGAGATCCCTTAATCTTACAAGTATGTGAACAACTATTTACACCTTTTTTTACATGTAGAGCTACCATGCAAGGTCACTTACAGAATTATAGATTATCAGTCTTGTCTGATGTTCTCAAGTTAAATTATTTCTAGTATTCTGTCTCAGTGAAAATTGAGAGTTAAAAATTAGATCTTGTATGTCTTTGTATTTGGCAATTCAAGCATAGTGTTTTGTATTATGCATATATATATATACCACTTCTATGTATTTACGTGTCTTTTATTAAATGTATGTTCTTGTTCTTCCACATAATCTTAGGGTAATCCAGAAATAGGGAATGTCTGGGCAGTTGGCCAGAAGTTGTGGAATCGAGATTTTCCTGGGGTTTATTCTTGTTTAGAACAGGAATGGCCTGAACATCTAGTCTCAATTATGAATGTCATTAGAGGTAAAATCTAGGTTTGTCCATATGATTACTATAAAATATAGCATCATAACTTAGTTTAGATTCTAATCTAAACTCTATTGGTTTTGACATTGGCTTTAATGTTAAGTTATAGTGTTTGATACCTTCAGAAATATTTACTTTGAAAGAGTTTTTTTTTTTCTATAAAAGAATTCTCACTGTTCTAATTTTTTGCATTCCTAATGGATCATTTCCAAAGCTTGTATTTTTTTTTCCTAACATAAATTCTAGACTAGAAGGGGGAGAGGCAGATATTTGGATTCCAAATCACTTTCAAGAAGTCATACTTTGATATTAAGTATTGTAAAATGAATTATAATAATATTTTAAATGATTATTCAACTTGCCTTAAAAAAATATTTTGGTCATGTGATGATATCAATTATTAAGCCTAAGTAACTAACTTAGACCTACATCTGTATAGTCTATCAAGTGTAGGCCGAAGAGTATATATTTTAATTGTGGTATGTGTTGCTGGTTCTGTATGATATAAATGTAAAACAAAACATATGTTTGTGTATAATTTATTATTACCTACTTCAGTATTTATTAATTATGGTACATTGCACAAAACAATAAAGATATATTGTTTCACATCAGACCCAGCTTTGGTGCACCCTGGGCCTTCCAAATTCGATAATGAATACATAGAAATTTAAGATATAAATTAAACAAAATGCAAAGGCTTAAGCTTGTTCTTTAGCTTTGATTACAGAATAAACACAGCCATTAGTTTCCAGAACATATTTAATGAGAAATCTTCATTTATTGAGTCAAATTTTTAATCATAAAATTGGAGTTCAGCGTTTTATGTAGGATTATTGAAAAAAGTTTTTTCTTGTTAAACACTGTGAATACTTTGTGATATGAAAAAAGAAACTACTCCCTCCCCAAAGTCAACAACCTCCTGTTATATGTATGCATACTTGGCTTCTTCTTGCATTTAAACTTGAGCTGCTGATATTTTTCAATGACACTAATTCTGTCAAGTTTGTTATTTTCTTTGAGAATTCAATGTTTTATTTTTATTCTCCATAGTTTTTATACATTTTATGGTATCAATTTAGTAAGTGTAATTTACAAAACTGTTTATTTATGTAAATACTAAAGTTTTAATTTTGTATCCAGTTTAATTTGAAAGATTGACAATGAGCTAAGGCTTGTCAGACCTTAAAGCACATGTATATTTTATAGGCACAAATTAATAGGTTTGTACGTGACATTCATTTATTCTTATTAAGTAGCGGGTATTAGTTTATAACTTCATGAGAGCAGCTTGATGATTTTGAATATTCCATTGCTGCTTAATAATTGGACATCTTTCATGTTTTGCAAGATTATACCTTTTGAAGCATCTTTACCATAGTAAAAACTTTCTTCTTATTGTCATTAAACACCAAGTTCTCTTGTGATGGGAAGAAGTTAATGATTATGTTTAATTTTCAAGTTTAAAGCAAGAAACTAAAAACATTGTTACTTTTGTCAATAAAGAATAAAACCTAATATCTTAAAAATGGTAAATGATTAAGTGTAGGCAAAGGTTGCTGACATGACAATGCTGATTGTTTTGTTGCAAATAATTGGTTTTAGTCTTTGTGTTGACTTTAACTTATCTAGGTACTACAAAGGTGATGTTATTAGTTTTTAGAAATATTAGAGACTTAGCTAAGCTACTTGTTGAAGGATGTTTTGATTTTTAGATTTAAAAAGTTGGTAATTGTGACTTGAGTTTTATGGGTTATCAGTATATTTCTTGACCAGAATAATAGAAACTTTGATCTTAGTAGCATGTTGGCCAACCATGCATCTTGATAACAGCCTAGATACGCTGTGGCATGGATTCTAAAAGTTTCTGGTAGATATTAGTTTTCATCTTTTCCCATTCCTCAAGAAGTAGTGCCTTCAAAGTGTCTTTTAATAGAGAGAGATAAGCAGACTAAGGTAACACTCATATCTTTGCCCCCACATTCAGCAACATGCACATTTGAAACAAGATGGGAAGACTCCATGACCTCATGATATTTTCATCACACCCTTATGCTATCATCTGTGGGATACAATGTGTAAGAGGACTCATCAGACCACATAACATGTTTCCAGTCATCTAGTGTCCATTCTCCATGTTATTTGTACTGCTAAAGTCATTTTTTGTTGGTTTGCAGACAGAAATGAATAGCTTGTGTATGACTGTATAACAACCAAATCTCATTTCCCACAGTTCTCTGTGTATGGTTCTGTATGACATAAATGTACCTAGACCAATGAAACGCATCAGTAGGTGCAGTGTAGCAAATCTTCGTTAAGCACTGTCTGTTCCTTTTCCCCAGCAGGCTTTCACATCTATACATTTCCCTTTTGAGTAATGTTTTATGGAATGATAACAATGAAGAATAGACTTGAGACCCAGTAGTCTTTGACTTACCAGTTAACTCTATTGCCTTCTTTATGAAAGCTTCTGTGGCTTGAGCTTCAATAATGTTTCTTTTGAGGTATGTTACATCATAATTGCATCTGATGGCTGCCGGTTCTGACTGAGAAGTTTTATACCTTTATGAAGGTCACATGACATATAAAGCAATTGGTCATATTTGCATGATCTGCACTTTGGGATGTTCTTTTCTGTTTGGTTGATGTTTCTGTTATCATGTATCGGCTTTGGACATGTGTTTATGGTAAACTTCTTTTAATTTCTGGAATAGTTGTTTCAATTTGCATGGGTTTATGAAGTTGAAAAGTTATCTTTATACACATAGGCCTTGATGTTTCTTGTTTGAAGATTAGGGGTGACTTCAATGAGCAGAATGGATTTGTCAGCTTGTTTATTGTTATCGTCTTATTTTATAAGTCATACTATGTCCTGAAACATTGTAGGATATTTCTGTAGTTTCCAAACATGACTGTAAAAGTTTTGTATTGAGTTTCCAGGTACAAATAGTTTGAAATGCCAATTTACCTCTTGTAATTCCAGTAATTTATTGTACTTCTGTGCAGAGATGTTCTACCAGCACTTCTTTGTATTATGAGTTGTGTAGTTAGAAGTAAAATAATGGAGAAGAAAATGCATATATTTAAGTACATGTAACATAAGCAATCTGGTACGTACTATAAATACAATAACATTTTCAATTGTATCTGTCAAAGTTTGCAGAACTTTACATTTTAAACTGTAAATTGTAACTGTCTAAGAAGGAAGAGTGAAAGCGTATTCATTTTTGATTTTTTTAAATGCTCATGAAAGTGGGGGTTTTGTCAATTGGAAGAGAAACTTCTTGTCATACAGGAAACTGTATGTCTGTATTGCCGTTTCATAGAAATTAGATGATTAGACAAGAAACTTTTATGTTTTTAACAAGGTTAGTGAACCTTTGAAACACACATACACTGTGTAAACAGCTAATATTTTAAAGTGAATATTACTATTTAGATAAATATACAGTTGTTGTTTTTTTCACTAATAAAATTCACAGTTATGGTCAAATGTGTTATGTGCTTACACTTAACAGTTCATTGTTATTGCTTTATTCTTCTTAGATGCAACAAAAACCCGAGCTGTTCAATTAGTGGCTAAAGCCTATTCTTCTATTGGTGTAGATGACACTGCATCATTTTTAGGAATGTCTTCAAACCAGGTTATTAAAGGTTAGTGTGATTAGCACATTATTCTGTGTATTATAAGTACACAAGGAAGACATAGGGAGGCCAGAACCTGTTTCCTCATCTTTCAGCATGATTTTGTCCTCTTCGCTTTGTTTCTTCAGGAACTTCATTTGACAGTGTCAATTATTTTCCCTCTGCTTCAGTTATCCTAATTTTTGCTAAGCTTTCTCGATTTTGTTGTGGCATCTATCTACTGTACCTTTATCAAGCTCGGTGACATTTTCTTTCTTGTACTGTTTCTGAACTATTTTTAGTTTTATTCAGAATTTTAATTTAGAGTTTATTTCATAGATGGTGTTAGAAGTGTTAAGTTGAAATAGAAAAGCTGAAGTAGCTTGGTCTTTTAATTCAAATATTAACCAATATCTCAAATTTCTGATATTGGTATTGAAAGAACTTGCTGTAAATATGCTTATTTATTAAAAAAATAAATTGATATAAAATCCCAAATTATCTAGGATTTGAACATGAGACTTCTGCTTGAAGTCCAAGTGCTCTAACCACTGAGGCAATTTGAGCATTATCAACAGACAGTGGCTTTGATATAATTGTTTCCATTGTTGTTCCTAGCTGTTACCTTAAAGTCATAGTACATAATGCCTATGATAATAGCTCCCAAATTTGTTGGGGATATCCAATCTATCAGACAAAATCCAAACATTGATTTTGAATGAGCCATCTAACATGAAAAATAAATTAATTAATTAAGGGTATGGAGTTGAGTGCTTTCACCCATAACGTCTCATCTCCTACAGTCCTTCACTGTCTGTCGCCAGTTGTGGGAAGGCAGTTACCCTTAAAAGTTATTAAAGATCCTAAAGTATAAATAAAACCACCCTAAAATTTCTACTATATGAAACTTCCAACCTCCATCCTTGTAAAATAAAATAAAAATAAATGATCTTAAAAAGAACTATAAACCCTACCTTAATAATTATTACGTAGTTTATATATATATATATATATATATATACCCATCCTCCTCACTTTCTCTTGAAAATGTATTCAATTATAACACAGGAAAGTTGAGACAAGCCCAACTACTTGAAGTTATTCTTTCCATCCCAGTATACTGAATGACATTATAATTTTTAATTTAGCTACTTATAAAAAGCAGCTAATGACCTCTAGTGACACAAAAGGTATTTTTTAAGTGGCTGAATTTAAAATTATAATTTTGTTCGGTATACCAGGACAGTATGTTTATATTTGCTCCTGTTATTATAGAAAAGCAGTTAATTTTTAACCACTTAGTACAAAATATATATCTTATTTTATTTTCCTTTTTGTAATTCCTAGTATACGAGATATATTACATATCTAGAATAGCAATTAGATAAATTATTAATATAAAACATAGTATCTTTATTATTCTTTTTGTAGTTTTAATATAACCTTGATACTTATTAGTACTTTCTTTCACAACTGAAAAGACCTTCCTTAGGAAAAATTTCTAAGGCTTATTCAGTAATCTGTATAACTTTTTAGGTTATCTTATTGATAAGATAATTTTATTATCATTGCAAACATCTTTCAGTTTTTTACTTACTGTTTCTTTTAATTTTGTATTAACGAATAATATGTCAATATGTATACAGTAATACCTCGATATACGAAGTAGATACATTTCTGGAGCTTAATTCATATATTGAAACTTTGTGTATTGAATAACTTACCATTTCATACTATAAACACTTCATAACATAACATTAATTTGTTTTATCATATATATATATATATATATTAGGGATGCACGGGTACCTGGCCGGGTATTGGGCTACCCAGTAATACTCAGCTCCGCCCGAGTGTTGAAATTAAGCATCAAAGCCCCAATCTTTGTGGCAACTAATGTGATACTGAAAGTTACAGTCAGTAATTGGTTTAGTTATAAAAAAAAACGTGTTCCAAGCAACAAAAACTGACTGCCCACTGAAAGTCTGGGATTCAGACAACAATAGGTGTTATTAACAGGCATAGCTTGAGAAGTTGGGGCTAGGCATTGAAAGTTGAAAGTAAAATTTGAATGATATGTTGATGATTATTTGGTTAGATGTAATAAATGTCAATTTTGTTTTTGTTTCTAATTTTTATGTATGTTGTTATTTTTGGTGGGGGGGGCAAGGGCCTAGGCCCGAAGCTTAGCGACTTGGTACCCAGACCCGGTATTCGGCCAAATTTTACTACCCGTGCATCCCTAATACATATATGTATTATTTTAAAACAAGCGGACTATGTTGCTGTTTGTTTATAGATGAAATTTATTGTCAACAAGTCACAGACATCTTTTGTAAATAATCTTGTACAACACTTAAAACTTGACAGCCAAGACAAATGTTAATAAATGATATATGACCATCTCGATGCAAAACACTTAAGAATTCATATCTTATTGCAATTTATTCTTATTTATATTGTATTATAGATGAAATAAATTTATTATTTATTTATTAATTTCAGTGTATTTATTTATTATTTTACTTTATTTTTAGCTAATGGTAAAATTCCAAAGTTTGTTATACTGAAACTTTGTTTATTGAATATATGTATATTGAGATATTACTGAATTTGGACAGTAAGTTAGTACAAACGGTGTAATCTTCTCTTTGGATTTACTAATCTCCTTATCTAGATTTATATCATAAAATCTTTAATTACCCAATGTAACATGATAGCATTTTGTATTATTTTGACTTCTGCATATGAGGTTTACGTTTTGAGCTTTAGTGTGCTATTTTTCTAGGTGTGTCATCTTATGGCTGGTCAGTGGATTCATCATCCAAAATGATCTTACCAAAACGGCCTGGTAAGTACAAATTTGAAAACAAGTTACTCTAATATGTGTTGAAACTTAGTGTTTGAAATTATATTAATTAGCAGTTTTTAAAGTTTTACAGGATGATTAACCCTCTTGCTATAGACAGGTCAAAGAACATAATGTCACAACATTTTAGAAAATTATTTTCAAAATTTAATTAAACAGCTTTATTAACAATATATGTCAGTAAAATTACCATCAAACTATAGGTTATAATTTAAATGTGAATACTATACATGTCTTAATTTCTTGATCTTAAAGAAAACATTAAAAAAGAAAGCTAAATATCCTTTTTTATGTGTTACGTAGAACGTCTTCTAGTTTTATTGCTTGGTTTATATTTTATTACACTTACCATACAACATCTATAGTGGATAACAAATTAGAAACTCAAATTTCAGACATTGAGAAACTAGAATAGAAAGAGCTTATTCCAAATAACATAAATCTGACAGATGTTTGTAATTGGCTTGAAGGAGAAAGTCACAGTTGTACTGGAAGTGTTGGCTCAGCTGCTGCTTTGAACAAAAATGCAATTTTTTTAACCCATGTATAGCATAGTTATAAAGGCAGATGAATTACAGTGGTTCTATGTGTACCAGTATAGTAATTTGATAATTTTTTGGTTTTCTAAAATGCATCTTTGAAATCTACAAAAATTAATTTGTCTTTTCCCCCTCCACTTGAGAGAATAAATTAGGCTTACAGCAAGGCTTAGCAAGTACAATGCACAAGTACAAGTCAATTTTGTAACATCACAAGTACTAGAAATCATTATTTTTCTATATATTTTTTATTTAATGTCTATTTTTGAGGAAAATAACTGAAGATTGGGGATTTATGAGTAAATTGTAGTTATATATGTATGCATGTACATAAGCGTTTACGCACTTTGTACACCTATACCACTAAATTATGACCATCCTGGAAGGATACCTAATATTCAAATACCTACCAAATTTACTGGATAGGCCCAAACATCATACAGAGTCATATCATAAACATTTTCTTCCACTTTTATTACTTTAGACAATTCTCGTTGCAGCCACTGTACTGTAAATAAGCTGATAAATTTTCCCACTCTATTCTCAGGGCCAGGATTACAATAAACTCTGTGATAATTGCACCGCATGTGCTCATTTGCTATCAGAGGTGTTGTATTATAGGTTCACATAAACAGTAGCAGTGATTCATTGCTTTATGTTTGGTAGGTTTCTATTTCAGCCACTAGCAGTAAAATAAACACAGGAACTAGAAGTAGAAACTCTGGAAAAGTACCTTGGAACTTCGTGGTCAATGCTAAAAAAAGGATAGAACAGTTCTACTCATTTCCTTTTTCAACCTTTTTTTCATTATACTTTGAGGACTTGTCAGAATCAAGTATTCCTTTAGGGCAGTGAAAATACCATAAAATGTAAAGTTTTTCAGGAAAAAAAACTTTGATATTTTTTTAGGAGGTTTTAGAGATTATGCAAATGATATTTGAAAATTTTTAGATGAAGAAAAGTATTCCTGATCTTACCATCACTTTGCACTCAGAACAGCCAACACAGTGACTCCATATATTAATAACTAAATGGACAAGTTTATAGTAAAAAGACTTAATTAAAAATTCTGATTCTTTTGTCTGTGAAAGACTGGTAACATTAAAAGTAATAGCATGGAAACTGGTGGTCATTTTTGGGGCAAAAGTGCAATGTAATTCACTGATCCTGTAGCAAGAGGGCTAAATTTGATGTTAATGATAATAGTATGTAAGAATGTGTTGTAGCTATACGTGTTGTCACACTACTCTAACAGATATGTCACTAAGTATTCCAAGTACACATATTGTAGCTCAACATAAACTGGTAAAGTATCTAAAAAAATGTGCATGACTTTCTTTATTTAATAGTTTGTTTAAAGCTGTTTAAAGAAATTAAATCAAACTTAACCAACAGTGTTAACACATTGGTAGTCATCTTTCTTTTGTACACTCAGCTTTAAATTTTAATGGATAAAGGTAGAAAGAAGCTTAAAACATAATCATGTTATCATTAAACACAAATAAAGAGCTGTGTTTTAAATATCTAACAAACTACTTGAAGATTCAGAAACAATACCTTGCCTCTTCACACAAAATAGTTTGATCCCTCGCATGTCTGCCTTTGAGACTTGCATGCCACTATCATTGACCTAACTCTCACCTAAAGATCAAGTTTAACATGAACTGTGCTAGTGCATGATGACATCATCATGCAAAGACTGACCTCCACCAATAGGAAGGTAACATAACCTCCTTGCACATTAACTATCCTTAAGCATTGCACTTGAAATAACTTCATTCTTTTCTATGGCATTTTCTCAAACATACCTGTTTTTAAAATTATTAATTAATTACATGAAAATTGTGATACTTTACAAAACTTAAAGTTTTTAACTTTCACCAATTTCTTTTGTACCCAAAGACAATATTATTTTTTTATGCTTACCTATTATGAATTCTCAAGTGACAGTAACTTCCACTTTGTCCTGTGATAGTGACGATGTTCTTAACATGGGGCGTGTGTTTTCTATGAAACTTGTTGTCTGTGGAGAACATAACAGCCATTGTTCAAAGTGTTGTGGTTTCCTCCATGCACACTGGCCTCCTCCTCCTCCTCCCATCTTTTCAGTCAACATTTTTTCTTCCCAGTTTAAAAGTGATCTGGATGATGAAGATTCTCACAGGCTATCTTCCCTGATAGGGTTTGCTCTAGTCACAACTTTACCTGTGGAGGAAGATCCTTACTCTTTTCCTCACTTCTTTGACATGATTTTGCAGATATGTTTTTTTTTCTCTTTCCCCTATGTCTTTTGATTCTTCATTTACTTTACTACATGAAGCCTATACTTAGACTACTTTGGTTTTCTTCTTTCATCTGACATTAGTGTCCTTGCTAACTCGTTTCTCAAACACCTGCACATCCGTACTATCATGCCTCATCTTCCTCGTCTACTTGACTTCTTTTTTTCCTGGCTTTCTTTCATTCTTTATTTCCATTCTTCAATTCCCAGTTTTGGTAATTTTTTTACCTATTTTATTTTGGGGGGGGGGGGGCTTTTATCTCTCTTTCCAGTACCCAATTTTTACTCATTTATCTCTTTCGTCCTACCCTCCTGCATTACCTCTTATCACTTTACCTTATGTGTGATGTTGAAGGACTAAATGACTTTCAACATGTGGGTTCCGGAGGAATGTTTACTACTTTCCTTCCCCTTTGCATGGATCTGTTGGTCATGATCCACTCTGACAATTCCTCATGTCATCATGCACTAGCACAGTACACGTTAAATACATGATTTTTAGGTGTGAGTTAGTTCAAGGCTAGTGGCATGCAAATCTCAGATAGATACATGAAGGATTGAGCTATTCTGTGTGTAACACTATCAGAAATACATTTTCAGGTAAAGAAACTATTAACTTTAATAATAAGATAGCATTTAATATTTATAGTTGATCAGTCTCAAATCTGACAAAAACTCGTACAGCTCATACACTAAACCTAACTTACTATTCAGCTACTTGAATGTATTTTTAGAAATTGTGATATCTTCTTTTGTTCCAAACAAGCCTTGCTTATTGGACTTTTTTTTTGCAAGAGCATTTCATGCATAAGTGTATATACTACTTGTAACACTTGAGAACCTTTTTTTTGTGTGTGTGTCAAAAATTTTAAACTAAACCTATGTTAGCAACTTTTAACATTCTATAATTAAAGCCAATGTACATTCAAAATGAAATTAATTGCAATAATTAATATAAATAGCAGAGATACTCATGTGATGCACAATGAGAGAGGTTTATGAAAGTCAACAAATCATTTATTGATTTTATAAAGAAGGGTCATTGTTTCATTTTATCTATGGCTACGTCTTTCCTGGGGTTTGTGGCTATGTATGCACTCAACTTTTTTTTTCTCAGTTTTTCTCTCTGTTTTTGATAATATACTTTTGTACTTTGTCGTGATCAAGCTTTGATTGACTTGTAAAATACAAAAAACGAAATATGTATATTTAGGTGTCTTATAATAAAGTTGGTAGGTATTGTTATGAGGCATTTATATCAATGAATATTAAATCCCTGAAATGATTGATGAGATTTGGAAAAAGAAAATGTTAACAATTATGAATATAAAAATGTGTTGTTGTTTTTTTATGAAATATGCCATTGGCAATATAAAGTACATAAGAATAAAATTATTCATGTCCATTAGAGTTGACTATATAAATAATATTTTCTATTTTAGTTTATTTTTTTATAAAAAAGCAATAAGTAACATGTGACTTAAACATATCTCACTTATCTCTATCTTGAAAGTATGTATAAAGAATGTGAAAAAATAAATCCATCAAGTGATTGATGAGATTTCAAAATGCAGTGCAATTGTAAAACTAATATTTTACCAGTTATGAATATAGATAGTGTTTCTGTTTTTACCCTAAATATGCCAATAATGATTGAATGTACATAGACTGTATGTATGTATGTATATCGTATGCAATGAAAGAAGAAACTGGAGAAATCCTATCAGTACCCCTAGTGGCCACCCTCATTGACTTATCTATAATTAGCTGTCATTGGAGCTATGAATCTGTGCATTTTAAAAGAGAAATAGCTTTTGATAAATCAAAAATCATTCCTAGTTGATTAAACTGTATTTGATATGTCCAAGTGCAAAAGTCTGGGAGGAGTTAAGAGGGCAAACAAAGAAACAATTCTCTCTTAAATTATAGTGGGATTCACTTTATCAGTTTTGTTCTGAAGAACAAAAAAGTTTTCTATGTGTTGAACAATTGACTAAGTCAAAATTGTCAAGAAAAGTAAACTCATGATATAGTTTTCACTCAGTATTTGGGTTTCTAGTGACAATTTAAGTAATACAGTTGTCTTATATCAATCACTTGTTCATTAAAACCATTTATTTGAAATTCATTTTTTTTGGAACGGGTTTATATATATATATATTCTTATATATACATAAAAGTAAATACAGGGTTCTTGTAAAATATTTGGCATTTTGAAATGTCAATAAAATGAATATTATTATTTGCCATAGTTCTTGATAGATATACCAATAGAACCATGGGGAACAGATTATATAAACTGACTTATAATTTGGTGCTAGTTTTGCATTGTATGAAGGGCAAATAGAGTATGAGACTGATTTCACTGTATGTTGATGGATTCCTTGTGTTCTATATAATAGTGTAATCTAAATGTCAGCATGATTTTCTGTTTACTTCTGCTTCAGATTGACTATAAAAATTCAATGCATTTTGTGAGTGTCTCAGAGGTATGTTAACCAGGAAAGAAAATCAAGTCTGTTGAGCTCCAGTTGATAAAAAAATTATATTTCTTAAATGTCAGTTTTGAAATATGAATGTTAAACTACTTTTATTTTCAACATATATGCATCTTGTTTCATTATTTTTGTATTTTCCTATACTTTTAATTGCTTTATACACAAACTTTCAAAGAATGTATAACTTCAAAAACAGGTAATTACAAAGTGTATTATTTTTTGGTTAGTAATAATTTATTTTGGCTTGTTCTATGTGTCACTTTCTCTTTCAGTACCTTTTTAATAATCCAATCAGATTGCAAAATATTCTTTTTGTAAAGAAATTACTGAAAATTATTTTTAAAAAGTAATATGATTTCAGATTATTGGCATTTAATATTGTCATGGGCTTATTTGTAGATAACCAAATACAGGATTTTTATAAATGGGGCCTGCAACAACCAGAATCATAACTATAATTATAGGTAAATAAAGGTAAGGGGCCCAATTACATTTTATGCTAGGGGGCCATCCTTTGTAGTTATGCCACTGCTATCGGGAACACAAATTCATGGCCACCAGAAATGGTTACCGGAGGGCACTACATCTGGTCAAATGGTTAATGTGGACATCATTTATGGATGGCATCTATCAGTTCTGTCAATGTAACAGGTGCTCCATAATAGCCAACTGACACATAGTCAAAACTCAAGTGGGCAATCTGACAGTATGCAGGCCATCACACATGAATGATGGCCACATTGAGCAGATGTATCATCTTATACATCACACGTGAATGATGGCCACATTGAGCAGATGTATCATCTTATACATCACACATGAATGATGGCCACATTGAGCAGATGTATCATCTTATATTGACCCTAGACTCGTGTTTCTCAATGTCAACTAAGAGTTAATGATCTGTGATATTTTATGGATGTCTGAAGAAGAAAATTTATAACAGCTCTAATAATAAACTTGTCATTTGTATTTTTTTTTTCTTTTTGCAACAAGTCAAGAGACATTTTTTATTTTACAACAGATTCACCAAAGGAACAACCAACATCTAGTGAAGAACAGCTTGCAAAATTGACAGATTTTGTATCATTCCTAGAAAATTGAGATTTTTCTGTAACTTTATCTTATTGTATTCCCAGCATTTGTAAGATATGGAAATGATGTTTTTGAGTTTATTAGTTTTTATGACCGAATGGGTGTGAGCAAGGCTTTATCAACCTTACAGTGAACTAACATGTCTTAAATTGTGGCTGTAAATGTTATTTAAATAAAAGCTAAAAGGACTTCATATCTATGTAGTAACAATGGGAACAACTGGTACTGTCCAGGATTATAGAAATGGTTTTATTCCTCCAAAGTCACTTATGAATTTTTCATTAGAAACTCAACAATACCTACTAGCTCTCATAATCTTAAACTTGTTAGCAGTAGCCATATTATTTTGTTGACAAACATATAGAAGTTGCCATATTAGTTTGAAACTTCATTATTGTGTTGATAAAGCCTATGAAAAGTATCAAGATTAATTTGAAATTTCATTGTTTTGTTGTCAAAACCTACCAGAAGTAGCCAGATTAGCTTGAAACTTGATTATTTTCTTGACAAAGCCTACCAAAAGTAACCAGATTAGCTGGAAACTTCATTATTTTCTTGACAAAACCTACTAAAATAATCAGATTAGCTTGAAACTTCATTATTTTCTTGACAAAGCCTACCAAAAGTAGCCATATCAGCTTGAAACTTCATTACTTTGTTGACAAAGCCTACCAAAACTAGCCAACATAAAATGAATCTGGTTTCATTTTAAAGTGAAATCTTAGCTTGATGTGCTTTTGCTTCATTACACAGACTTACCAATACTACTTAGTTTGACTCGTTTTTATATGGACTTACAAGCACTAGTTAGTTTGACTCGTATTACACAGACTTACCAACACTAGTTAGTTTGACTCGTATTACACAGACTTACCAACACTAGTTAGTTTGACTCGTATTATATGGACTTACAAGCACTAGTTAGTTTGACTCGTATTACACAGACTTACCAATACTAGTTAGTTTGACTCGTATTACACGGACTTGCCAACACTAGTTAGTTTGACTCGTATTACACAGACTTGCCAACACTAGTTAGTTTGACTCGTATTACACAGACTTACCAACACTAGTTAGTTTGACTCATATTACACAAGACTTACCAGTGCTAGTAGTTAGTTTGACTCGTATTATACAGACTTACCAACACTAGTTAGTTTGACTCGTATTATACAGACTTACCAACACAAGTTAGTTTGACTCGTATTATACAGACTTACCAACACTAGTTAGTTTGACTCATAATACACAGACTTACCAACACTAGTTAGTTTGACTCGTATTATACAGACTTACCAACACAAGTTAGTTTGACTCGTATTATACAGACTTACCAACACAAGTTAGTTTGACTCGTAGGGTTTTTTGTTTTACTAGATTAAACCTAGCACCTTATTTTTTTGTATGTTGCTTTCATAAGTTAAAAAACATGTGCACAATCCAGCTTGGATTTTATATTATTTATTCATTAAGCCAAATTTACTTACACTAACACTTTTATAAGCCAAAAATTACCAACAGTAACTAGCTTGTCTTGCCCCCTTTTTTTATACACACAGTGATCAGCTTATAAATTTCATGTTTCATCACGTAGAACTTAAATACACTATTCTCTTTGGCTTGCACTTTGTTTCTTTTTTTCATAACCCAAAACTTATCAAACTCTGTTTTGATTATATCTTGTGTTTTTCATATTAAAATCAAGACTAGACAGCATGGCTTGTACTCCATCTTTAATGTCAACTTTCTGCACCATCTTGAGGCCAAATGAAATTGTTTATTATTGGTCTTTCTGTATTTTTAAAGATTTCGGAGATCATAATCTAGAACATGAATTTACAACTTTTTCTCATTCTGGAGATCAACAGACTTCTGGGAAGTTAAGAACATCGATTTACCATAATTTGCGAAGCTTGAGCTTGACATTAAGTTAAGATATATATTAATCTTTTTTTTATTTTATATTTCCTAGAACTATTTGAATATTGTGGTAAAGTGAACTATGACATAACCACTGATGCACTTGGATTTCTCTCTTTTTTTTTATTTCAATGTGACAGCCAGATTGGTAAAGATCTACCTTGAGAAAATTAAAAAATAACATTTTGTTTGTTAGTTTTGTGAACTACTTTTTTAAAACAAGTGAAAATTTTGCATTGTTTCTTGTAAAATAAGATGCTTCAGTCATGAGTAGGTTTTGTAAATTACCAAATTGTTGAAAAATAATTATGTTTTGGACTCCTAGAATGCTGTATGGTCCCCTAAATGAATAGAGATCACAAGTCTGGTGAACTCCAAGGTAATAGGGGTTATGCAAGTATGATGTGACAACTGTAAGATGAAAAGAAAATTTTTATTCTGGGCATGAAAATCACCTTTCTTTTACATTGACTCAGTAAAGACTTCATTAATTCACAGATAAATCATTAGCAAGAATAGCTTATAAAAAAGCTAAGTTTCGTGTATAACACACTTGTAATGTTTACTAAAAAGCTTGCCAGATTTCATGAAGATACACTTACTATGTTCAGAGTTATGCATGGTGGCTACAAGGGTAGTCAAGTTGACTCTGCCTGCGTGCATAACTTTAATCATACAAAAATAGTATACATGTATACTCATAAGTTCATAATCATTAACACTAATCACATTAAAATATACATGTATACCCTAAGATTAAGATGACATTTGCATAAATTTTAAATAACACATGTTTAATGAAAAAAAAGAACATTTAATTATGAAAAATATTTAAAATGAGACAGCCCCATTCTCAAAAGACCATAAAATGTATTTAAAGATTTATTGTAAAAGAAAAAATTTCATGAAACTAGGAACAGTCTCATACACTTTACACATTTCAATGATTTACTGTGTCATCTTGAGTGTTAATGAAAAAACCAGTGTTTAATGATGCACAAGGAGTCTCACCTTTTGTATTTGTGTATCTTAAGTGTTGGTTTTTTCTTTAAATCTTGTTACATATATACATTTTTTTAAATCAAATAATATACAAAATTTACATTCATCCAGAATTGCAATAAAACTTTGCTCACTCTCACCTTAACCCTGCCAGTTGATTCTTCAGTTCCATTGTTATCTTATGGCTGGCTGCCTTGGTGGTACTCAGGTCATCTTTGATTTTTGTTAGGGCTTTCTTGGTGTTGGCAAGCTTGGTACTCTTTTCTTCCTCGGACCATGACAGAGATGTTGCCTTCTGTCACAGTCAGTCTTCCTCCTGTTGTAGAGAGCCCAAGTATCAGTCCAGTTGGCACCCATCTCTTGGTAATGTCTTTTCTACAGTAGGATATGCTCAAGCTTGCAGTTAATGGCAACACCTTAAGTGGTTTTGTCAGGAGCTCCACTCTTGCTCTAGGTTTAGCTGTAAAATTTCTTTGCCAATGGTATCTCAACAGATGATGAGGTACTAATCCTTTTCCTCCTCTCTCTGTACTAGACAGTGGTCACTCCTACCATCCTCACTGACCCTTGGTGGTTGCTGTAGTAGAGTTGATAACCTACAAGTCAATTGGCTCATCTGCACTATCAATTGTAGTAGTGCTAGCCACAATAGTGCTGTATGTCCAGGATTTCAAAACTTTAACAATGATTGGGTCATCCAAGAACCCCACCTGACCCTTCTGGAGCCTGTTCAACCCTCAAGAAGATCCAATCTCAGGAAAGGTTTCTTCAGCTTTAGGATGTAGTGTACCTGCCAAAGGAGCAAGCACATCTAATGACACTTATGAGTCAAAATGCCATATCCTTTGACAGCACATCTTAAAAGCAGGTCCTCCTCTGTCCTTGCCACTTTTAGCTCCTCCCCTCCAGTGTCCACAAAGTGGTTGTCCCCATGACCCTCTTAGTGACCAGTACATCCAGTAGAGGTTTGACGTCCTCAGAGCCTGTCACTGTTGGTGGGAGCTGCTCAGCCACTGGAGACCTTAGGGCCAACCCGATGACAGATCCAGTGAGCTCTTTCATCTCTGATGCATTGGCTAGCAACACATCATTTTTCCATTGTCTCATTTACGGTCAATACTATGCTAGTTCATAGAGTTCAAGATTCAGCAGCACAGCAGCATAGTCTACTTTGCTGTGGAATAAGCCCTGGGTATACTGGTCATCATCTAATAGGCAATCCAGTATGCAGTTCAGAAGTTCTTGGGAATTGAAAAACAAGACAGGTACCTGACTACCATCTTTTTGAAAAAAAAGAGGTCGCCAAAAGAGTCAAGTATTTTATCACAGATAGCAAAAATCCAGGTTGAAACTACAATATCAGATGAATTTCAACTGTTCAAAAGTTCAGCTAAGTGCATGTGCTGTAAAGGGTTATAACTGTTCAGTTACAACCATAACCTGCTCTAAAATTCTTTAGAGAGGGGGTCACAACATTGTCATAAGTTATGTGATACTTCTATGAGTTGTGCATATAGTCAGACCTAGCACCTGGTAACTTCCCAATTTCTAAGCTTCATTGGGTCCTTGATTGACCACTAACTTTAGCCATGCTGCCCTCTGGTCTCATTCTTCTTCCTATCATCAGGTCATTGCAAGGATAGAGCCCAGCTCCAGCAAGTCTAGACTTCCATCTGATTCCTATGCACATGAGCTGACTAGGGTTTTACTTTCAACCATTAGAATCCACTAGTATTTACATTCTTTCCTTAGGAACATCCAATTACAAATGTAGTACTAGTTTTTGGTGTGACTTCCAAAGTTCTCACCACGTGGGTATTACTTGCCACCTCTCCCTAGTACACTTGCAGCCTACATTTTCATGTGTTATTATTGCACCTTGTACTGAAACAATATCAAGAAAATATTCTAAAAATTGTATGCTTTATAAACAATATTTAAAGTTATGTGATTGTAAATATTCTATCACAACCAAATAAGAAATTTGCACACAAAGTATATACTTGTTATGATATCTAAGCTAAATATAATTTATTATTAATGATATCACCCACTCATGAATATTTCAATTTGATCCAGTTAAAGTATCTTGCAAAATCTTTATGAAACACACCAGGTAAAACTTTTTCTTAAGTGAAGCATAAAACTTCACTGCCTGTCATACATTTTAACATCAAAATTGAAGTATTCTTTTACTAGCATTAATGAAAGTAGCAGGTACACTGTATTCTCAAATAATACCTTCCATATCTATTATCACAGTTAATTTCATATCAGAAAGTATTAGAATCAAGATCAAATCATTTATCTCTATGCACATGTTGTCTACTGTCACATTCTCTGTGTAATTACTTCATTTGTGTTATATTACACTCATGAATGACTATCTAATGCGTACAAAACCACATATATATATATATGTTGCTATCTACATTACACACTATTACATACTCTAGTAGCATATAACAGATTGCATCTGGCTTCCACGTAAATTATGTCGTTAACTTTTTCAGGTTACCTTTCAAGGCTACTTCTCAGTAGCAATGGTCTTCTAATATGCTGCCATCAAACAATTCTTTCTTCCTTTCAAGCATCACAAAATATATAATCACTGGCAGAATTCAGCTGAACTAAGAATTTTCAGCTAAAATCCTCATCAGCTAGGATTAATCTGCTCCTATTGTACATCAGCTTTCACTCACAGGAAATGCACCTTCCTCGCTGCATGTAGAATCTGTGTGCTTTCCAAGTAAATAGGGGAGAATGTAGCGAATACCAGGCAACGTTCTCTATGAGGTTCCCACCATTCAGCTAGAGCAAGTGAGTGATTCTCCCAAAATGTCAGATAATGTCTCGCATAAGAAAATTCATCCAGAGGCTTAAAATGCACGGGTCAAAATACCATTCCCATCATTGATATTTTGAACACATGAGCATCCTAGCTTATGAGACAAATCAAGCGGAAATCACAAAATGTAGTGATTATATTATACCATGAAGTACCACCACCTGATTGCTCGGAAAGCAAGGGCTGCAAAGCCCTTTCAGTTGAGTTTTCGAACTTCTAGCTAACATCTTAGTAAGGACTGTATACACATTAGCAAAAACAGAAGAACTCTGCAATAAACTTCCTTGGTCGTGGCACGAAAATTTCTCCTAACTACCTACTATGTGGTATTCTTAGGTTCAACTGATTTCTCTAAAGAGTATCAGGTAGGTCCACTTTATAGCAGGAGGTTCAGTCTGATAAATTACAAAGTGGTTCTGAATTTAACTAGACTGATTCAGTTCAAGCAAAGGAATAAACAGACTGAACATGACATGCTATACAAAGTTAAAATTATATTTATCTATATCAAATACAAACACACCATGCGTACTTTTAATAGGACATTAAACATTCGCCTTCTACTGGATCCATTAAATTATTAACTGATTTTTTCATTAAAATGTTTTTTTTATCAACCAGATTACTTGAGATCCTGTGGAGTTGACGTAAGTTTAATGTTTCTTATTTAATGGGAAACATCGAATATAGCTATAGCGCTATAACTTCTAGATAGCATCTGTCATACCAGTGAAAGACACTGCTGTTGTCTACATTCTTCCACAATGTGCAGCATTACAACAATATCTCCCATTGGCAGAGCAAGTATTATCTTTATAGAACAACGAAGGAACAAAGGCAGCTAGGATGAAGCCAGCTTAATGGTTTTCTGGATCTGTATTATGTAAAAATTGCATAGACTCGGAATATACGAAAGTTTTAAAATTCTACATTAAAATAAAAAGGT